CATCCTCTATTACTACTGGAAAAAAGACAGAAGGTAGCAATGGCATTAACATGGCAATAACAGTCATTTACCATCCCTGTTATATGGCGGCCGATCGCGTCTTCTGCTTGGAGGCTGCCTTTGTTTTTCCACTTTGACATATTTGGCCGCTGGTCTTCTTCTTTGAATTAGCTGCTAACTGCCACCAGCTCTTTTAAACCTCCTGTGGTGGGTCGCACACATAACACGTCATCAGAATGTCACACCTGTGCCGCCCGTGATCCCATTCTGCTGGCTGTCGCTTTACTACAGAGATCATTTTGGCGCTGTTACTACCAGTGTTAACTTTGACAGCTATTTAAGAGTTAGTCTTAGTCTTGAGATAAAAATATTTAATAGTTTTAGTCACATTTTAGCCAATTTTATCCTTCATAGTTTAAGTCTAGTTTTAGTCTACGGAACTTTTAGTCGTTTCTTTATCTTTATTCTAATCCAGTTAATCAATATTAGTCTGAAGGTGTTAACTCATGTCTTATGGAGTCAGCGATTAAAACTAAACTTTCATCTCTGTCAGAGAAAACTGATTTGAGTTCAGACTGTTCACTTACAACACAGCCACACTCACAGATAACTGAGCCTCTTACCTGCCTGTCAAACAGCATCAACCCATTAACCTTCCTGAGACAGTCCAGACTGAGGGGAGTCCTGTGGGGATTACTAGTGGCTGGTGGCTGCTTGCTCTGCTGCCATTCTGAGCCTAACAAGTGGAGCTAACTGCAAACAGCAATAGCTGTAACTAACAAACTCCACAAATCCATTCAGCAGCTCCACCATCCACAGTCAGACACACACAGCAGATTCTTTACTGGTGAATTACAGCTGACACTGCTCCGGTGCTCCTGGTGCAGACTATTTACTGACGTTTACCAGCCTGTCACTCATTCGGCATTTGAAGATGATTACAAGCATGGCCGTTCTCGGCTTTCAATGTCCGATAGTCAACCACGAACATTTTCATTCCTCCAGGAGAGTTCCTGGTGGGATGAAACTCTCCTGATTTTTGAAGATAACTACAAGCATGACTGTTCTTGGCTTTCAATGTCCAATAATTGACTACGAACATTTTCGTCACGTCTTATCAACAAAAATGAAGCATAGATTTCCTCTTAGTTTTTATTGTTAAGATCTATTTTTCACTTGTCACTGTCAAGTTTACGTCATGGAAAAAAGGTCGCTGATGAAAAAATTTCATCATAGTTTCCATCAACGAAATTAAAACTGGTTACAACCTCCGGTGCAACCTTTAAGGCGAGACAACTCTATCCCCTCATTCTGTGAGTGTAACTTTAATACAGAACAGTGAGGCGGCAATATGGCGTGAAATTCCCACCTTGAAGAGACAGTGTGAAAAGGGGCTACAGATGAACCTGAAGAATCTTGAGTTTGTTTATTACTGACAGTATTTACAACATGGGCATTCCCCTTGCCCAATGAAAACAAGAAAGTAGCAGACAAGAAATTAAAGATATTTACACCATGAAATGGTACAAAAATGACACAAATTGGCGCATAAAAATTCACCAGAATGAAGAAAGTTACGTGTTTGATGCACAAAATCTTCTGGTGGAGTCCGAACCGCATATTTAATATGTGTCCCCCTCCAATGCTGAAACAAAACTAACGCTGTTGTATCTTGGTGAATAAGAGCCTGTGTTTTACATTCTCGTTTTGGAATAAATGTGTCACCTTACTGTGATATTGTGTTTTGGTGACTACTTTGTCTGTTCAAATCCTTCCAGTCTGCAAGTATTCACCCTCTGGAGGTGCGGATGAGGGGAAGATGCTGAAATGAAATTTCAGCTTGCAGAACACATTATCGAATGTCTGTAAAATTCAATATTGAATCAAAATCCCTGATGAAATCAAACCCCGGATGGCTGGAGCTGGCCTACATAGAGTAATGTGCATCTTATCCCAGACAGTAAAGTAATCTTGCCTGTGCCGGTTGAGTTTTCAGTCACTGAAATTTAACAGAAATATTGACTGCAGATGAGCTCTGCTGCAAATGTTCTTTGCCTTCTCCTTTTTTATCCCTTTCCAGGGGACTGCCACGGAGAAGTCAGCTTTTATTATTTTATTTCTGTTTCTTAGAGAGTGTAATGGGTGTAGGCACTTATCATCTTTCTCTGAATATTCACTGAGACATTATACAACACTATAGAGCATGTTTTGTCAAACACAAGTTAGAGCAATAGCTGGGCTGCAATGACACTGTTCCTTTAACATTACTGCTATAACAGCTTCCTCTCAGTTTATATTCCCACTGAACCCATCCATTCATCCAACTGCCTTGTATATCTCTCATGTCACTTGCCTTATTGCCAGAGGGTACGTGGGAGGATTGTGGAGAAGCTCAACTAATTTGGAAAAATAGAAATTATGATTTGATTTTTTAATATACTCTCAGTTGCCAGTCTATTGAGTAGGGTACACCTAGCCAAGTCAGATGCAGTCAAAAACAACATTACTGCGATAAATTCTGACTTTGTGAAGGTTGTAATGTTCGGTTTTTGTTGAAATTGCTGGGTGTTAAGTCAAGTTTATGGTTGTTTTGAAGGATGCAGTTCGGGTGCTGTTGAATATGGTAACACATACCAGTACCACTACTGTTGAGTGGTATTATTGTCCAGTAACGTATGGTACTGTTGAACTCATAGACTGTAAAATAACAGACATAGCTACCATCGGTTTGTCGACTCCCATTTTGAAGCCCCGAGTTCGACACTGTGGCTTTCGCACTTGAGAAGAAGCTGAGGATACTATCAGCAAAAAGCCTGTCACTTAAGGCAGTTTGTCACAGCTCAAATTTCCTAGGTTGTTTTTTATTTCATTCATTCATGTTGTTTCCTGTTATACTTTGAAACTCACATATCTCCTTTCAGATCACTTCACTTCCTGCCCCTGTGAGTTTTCCCTCCCTTTTGATGACTTCACCTGTGTCTGATTGTCTGTCCCACCCTGATTAGCCTCACCTGTGTCTCGTTATCCTTCCCCTCACCAGAGTGTTTAGTATGCATCTTGTTTTCTCTCAGTGCTACTTCGTCTTAGCTCCTTGTGTGTCTAGTGTTCCAGCCTTTTGTTTCCCTGTGTCTTTTTCTTTTTTTTTGGATTTAGCCTGTTGATTGACTCTGACTCTGCCTCATTTCTATTGGATATGTTTGCCTCCACTCCACTGATAGTCCGTCTGTGTACCAAACCTACCTTTGGACCAGTAAAGACGGAGTTATTTTACTGGAACTGTGCATTTGAGTCCACTCTCACCTAGTTCACCAGTTGTTACACAGTTTGTCCTTAATAATGTGTAACTTTAAGCCGTAATAAGACGCAAACGGCTAAGTTATATAAAAATTCACTTCCTGTACAGTTCTCATGAAGAGGGAAACTAGCTATAGACACCAAAACCATATTTTGTACCAGGCAGTAAACATGTTTATTTCTGCTGTAAAATTGGTCATTTTAACATGGGTGTCTATGGGGATTGACTTGCTTCTGGTGCCAGCCTCAAGTGGCAGCTCAAAGAACTGCAATTCTTTGGCACTTCCTTGTTAACTCATTTTTCAGCCATGGAGGTTGTCACTTGGTCAAACTATACTGAGACATTTCTGTTATTTAGCCTACCTTCACTGAAATATAGGACATTGGGACTTGAGTATTATCTCGTATGAAGACATTGGGACCTAAGTATTATCTCAAAGACATTGGGACTTAACTATTAACTCGTTTGAAGACATTGGGACTTAAGTATTATCTTGTTTGAAGACATTGGGACTTAAGTATTATCTTGAAGACATTGGGACTTTAGTATTGTCTCGTTTGAAGACATTGGGACTTAACTATTAACTCGTTTGAAGACATTGGGACTTAAGTATTATCTTGTTTGAAGACATTGGGACTTAAGTATTATCTCGAAGACATTGGGACTTTAGTATTGTCTCGTTTGAAGACATTGGGACTTAACTATTAACTCGTTTGAAGACATTGGGACTTAAGTATTATTTCGAAGACATTGGGACTTTAGTATTGTCTTGTTTGAAGACATTGGGACTTAAGTATTAACTCGTTTGAAGACATTGGGACTTAAGTATTATCTCATTTGAAGACATTGGGACTTAAGTATTGTTTCGTTGAAGACATTGGGACATACGTATTATCTCGTTTGAAGACATTGGGACTTGAGTATTGTTTCGTTTGAGGACATTGGGACTTAAGTATTATCTCGTTTGAAGACATTGGGACTTAAGTATTGTTTCGTTTGAGGACATTGGGACTTAAGTATTATCTCGTTTGAAGACATTGGGACTTTAGTATTGTTTCGTTTGAGGACATTGGGACTTAAATATTATCTCGTTTTAAGACATTGGGACTTAAGTATTATCTCGTTTGAAGACATTGGAACTTAAATATTATCTCATTTGAAGACATTGGGACTTAAGTATTGTCTCGTTTGAAGACATTGGGACTTAAGTATTATCTTGTTTGAAGACATTGGGACTTAAGTATTATCTCGTTTGAAGACATTGGGACTTTAGTATTGTCTCGTTTGAGGACATTGGGACTTTAGTGTTGTCTCGTTTGAGGACATTGGGACTTTAGTGTTGTCTCGTTTGAGGACATTGGGACTTTAGTGTTGTCTCGTTTGAAGACATTGGGACTTTAGTGTTGTCTCGTTTGAAGACATTGAGTCTTTATTATCATCTCATTTGAGGACATTGGGACTTTAGTGTTGTCTCGTTTGAAGACATTGTGACTTTGGGCTCTCAGGAGGATGTATTATGAACAGTAATAATCCAGTTTAAAGTAAATTCAAATGGACACATTTGGAACATGACGTATGGTGTCAAACAGGAAGCTGAGTTCATCTGTCAGGAGTGTGGAGATACATCACCTGGTGAAAACTGCTAATCAATCACTGTAACATATAACAGCATCCCTTTAATGGACTTCTCTCTTGTTTCTGGCAGGTCTCATGGCTGACAAGAAGGATTTGTACATTGAAGAGGAGGAGGACGACAGAAACCTAAACTACATCGCTCCGGTCCAGAAGACTTTGGATGAGATTCAGCAACTGGACAAAGATGATGAGAGTCTGGTCAAGTACAAGCAGACCCTGCTGGGGATGACACCAATGCTGGCAGGTGTGTGTGTTTATTGTTTATTGTTTATCTGAGGTGATAGAAGAGCTGGTGATTCACCCTGGTACCCAGTGTTGCTGCAACACTATTCACTCAATATAACGACTTGGTGCATAGTCCCTCGTAGTCATCAACTTCTGATCAAACACACACACACACACACACACACACACACACACACACTGGAACAGACCTGCTTGCCTCAGCATCTCTAACCCAGCAGCCAGGCCATGACAGCTGATATCAGTAGAAAAGCTCTGACTCCCCCACTGCTGTAACTCAACACCGCCCCATCTACATCTTAGTAACACTGAAAACACTGGGAGAGGCTGTAATAAAGAAAGAAAAAGTAAAGAGGAGGGGAGGATTTTATTGTCTAACAGAGGCCATTTATCTTTTAATCTGTCCATGTTGAATCCCAATAGCCCAAAATACTGATGATGGAGTGGTTACTGTCTTCTGCAACTGATGTGTATAGACTGTGATATTTCAATATGTACAATTACAGCATTAATTTCAATGGGCTTTTAATATTTTTTTGCCGTTCTAGCAGTGTGGCTCTAGAAATGGCATTTTAATTCAGTCAGTCAGTCCTCCACATTGGCTCAGACTGAAATAACTCAACAACTAGATCAGCATTTCTCGAATGAGCGTATAGATATCCTCAGGGGTACTTTGGAGTTCTGCAGCGGGTCAGTGAGATTTTTCTTACTGTTAAATGAAAAATCATCAGTCATGCATAATTTCCAAAAGATAATTGCACTGTACCAAGTTTGATAAAACAGACTTCTGTTAAATGTCAACTGCCCCAACAAACACAGTCACATTCCCATTTCCATTTGTTCGGTTTGATTGTGGTTGAAATGTGATGGCGCTACAGCTGAAAACACATGTCTCGTCACATGACATACAACATACATACATATATATATAACATATATATATAACAAAAAATACCAAAGAAAGTAAGGAATTATTCATTTAATTGAATAGTTTTACAGCTTATTTATAGTTTATGTAGAATAAGCATATATTTCATAACATATTTTTTTATAGATTGCTACTAACTGTTTAACAAAAGACAAAAGGAAACCATAATGGGGATGGGTTTACCTTTTCAAAGGCATATAGCCCAGAAAAGGGCTTTTTTTACATATCTAAGGTGGCAATCTGAATTACCCACTGATGGATTACTATTAAATTGTGTGCAAAAATTCATGGTTTCCAGAGGATGAATTCTAATGACTTTGACGATATACTGACTCAATCCGAAATCGTCGAAATACGGCACTTGAGCAGTGATTTGCTGGGTCAGACACTGGCGAAAAAAGCCGCCCTTTAACGTATTTATGATACCAATCACCGTTACCCTCACCTATGGTCACGAGCTCTTGGTAGTGACCGAAAGAACGAGATCGCAAGTACAAGCGGCCGAAATGAGTTTCCTCTGCAGGGTGGCTGGGGTCAGCCTTAGAGATAGGGTGAGGAGCTCGGACATCGGGGAGGGACTCGGAGTAGAGCCGCTGCTCCTCCCCGTCGAGAGGAGGCAGTTGAGGTGGTTCGGGCATCTGGTAAGGATGCCTCCCGGACGCGTCCCTTGGGAGGTGTTTCGGGCATGTCCAACCGGGAGGAGACCTCGGGGCCACCCCAGGACACGCTGGAGGATTAGATCGCCCGGCTGGCCTGGGAATGCCTCGGGGTTCCCTCGGAAGAGCTGACGGAGGTGGCTGGGGAGAGGACTGTCTGGACTTCTTTGCTGAGGATGCTGCCCCTGCGACCTGGACCCGGATAAGCGGAGGATGACGAGTACGAGTACGAGGCACCGTTACAGTTTAAGTTCGCTCAGTGGCCTCAGGGGGAAACCTGTTGGGACAAGAGCGAAAGATAAGGCGGCGAAAGTCCGAGTAGGGCGGGCGGGAGAGGTGGTGGATGGGTCTAACAAACTCAGACTTTCACCCAGGAGAGTGATGTTTACGTCCCGTAAGATTAGAAAGTCAAACCCTGTTCTTTTGAGGGTTTGGCTTTCTCCTAAACCCAACCACGTGCTTTTGTTTTTGGATAAAAAAAAATGTGGAAAGTCCATGACCAAACGTTGATATGTGATGAGGTCGGAGTGAGAATGTGAAAACTATGACATTCCTGTCGCCTTTAGTGCTAATTAGCAAATGCTAACATACTAAACTAAGATGTGGGGATTTTTTTTAGCTCAAAGCACTACTAAGTACAAAGCTGCGAGCGTTGCTGTAGATCGCTGTAGCCTTCTCTTCACTTATCCTCAGATCTTTGAATCACTACCACCATCTATGAAAGTTTTACAAGACCATTTATTGAAGAAATAGTCCACCACATAACCTCCCATAAAACCACAACTTGTAGTTTTTTCTGTTTGTGTACGGATCAAACAAACAATATATAACATGTTGTATGACGTGCATGGTTACGTCCAGTCTTTATGCTAAGCTAAGCTAATCATCTCCTGACTCGATCTTCTGATCTAACTCTACAAGAAGAGTAAAATGAATGAATACTGTCATAACCAGACTGTTTTTCCTCACCAGACCCCAACGTGCCGAACATCCAGGTGACCAGATTGACCCTGCTGTGTGACATGGCTCCTGAACCAATCACCATGGACCTGACAGGTGCGTCCCTCTCATCACTCCTCTGTTTATTCTTCTCTGTCCTGCTTTAATGGCTGCGGATTTGGTTACTGATGCGCCCTGGAGCAAGGCATCTCACCCCACATGCTGCCTTTCATGTGCAGAAAGACTGCAGTGGGTGTGTCCGTGCTTGAGAGAGGAGATACAGCTAAATGTTTGCTTAGTGAGCAGTATTGACATGCTCCCCTGGGTGCAGGCGAAAGCGACATTCAGGGAGGGGGTGTGAGGTGTCTGTACATTCGTGTGTGTGTGTTGGTGTGTCTGCGGTGCATGGTAATCAGATGGCTGCAAAGAGATTATGTCACTCAGGCGATAACGTTGAGGAAAGAATCGATCTGTGTCTGTGAGTTCACCGATCACTGACTTGTGTGTCAGGGTGTGTCAACAGGACAGCAGTGGCTGTGAGTGTGCGATTTCAGCGTTTGGCTGCGTACATTAGCATTTTTGTTTTTTGTGTTTATGTGTTGTTTGTTATCTTTTTTAACTAATTTAATGGTCTGTCTCCAAGAACGAGTGAGAGCCGCTGCTCAGCAGGCAGCAGAGGGAGACAGCAGGGAATCAGGGCTCGACATTAACACTTGCCCAGGGCAAGTATGCTCCGTGTTCAGGCCAGTGGAACGCCTCATGCAGTTGTCTAGGGAAGCAAAAAGTAATTGTGATGTCTTATGTAACACTATCTGAAAATAAACTGTGTAAGAAGACCATCTCTGAAGCAACAACACCTTGTCCAACCTTGAAGCAGATGGGCTACAGCAGCAGAAGACCACACCAGGTGCCACTCCTGTCAGCTAACAACAGGAAACTGAGGCTACAGTTCACACAGGCTCACCAAAACTGGACAATAGAAGATTGGAAAAACATTGCCTGGTCTGATGAGTCTGGATTTATGTTTCCAGCACATTGTTGGATCTATGCCAATTAAATATATGCCTGTTACTAGCAAGATGTACCTAATAAAGTGGCATTTGCTGGTTGTTGGGCTGATGGTGGCCAGCTGGAAAACATATCGCCCAACCCTTACATGTGTGTGTTTCTTCTTGATCTCACTGCTTGCATTTGCTCTGATTTTCCCTCGTCTGAGGATTCTCCTGCCTGTCACACACACGATTGCACAGTCACACACAAAAAGACACAATCACAGACTGCTAATAGGAAAGGTCACCTGGTTGCTAGGCGATGCTGACTTTGTACTAAGCAGTTCCCTCTGATTCAAACACAGGGAGAGTATCGAGCAGCCTTTAATGTGCATGTTTCACTGTGTAATGGAAGACATGCTGAATTGCACCAAGTGGAAAGAGCTCAGTGCCGTTCTCCCACACCAGACAGACCTAATGCTTTCAGATCTGATCTCAATCACAGATGATGGATGAAGTAAAAGGTGGATGGAAAATCAATTGAGTAACCTCTGCTTGTACTTGGGCGATACAAAATTTAACAGAAAGACTGTATTGCAAACTGGGAGCGTGAGTTTAAACCAACTCTTGGCAATTATGCAACTTAGAGACAAAATAAGTCCCTGACTGGGACCAAAGCAAGACAACTCTAGGTCTGAAAGCACCCCTACATTTTTAAGAGGGATTACAAACTGCAGCTGGGGATGTTTATCAGTCAGACACAGTCTAATGAACGATGCTATCCAATTGTTACTGTATATGCCGTGTTGTTTATTTATCCATCCGATTGCTGAATAAAAAGAAACAATCTCCCTGGAAACCGTTCAAACAGAGATTAGATTTAGTTTGGATGAATGTGTGTGTTCGTGTTGTGGAGCTAAAGAGAAGAAGAGAAATTGCAGAATGCTGCGTGAGAGAAAAGCTTCTTTCATCATTAATCTATCGCATAAGCAGCAGCAGGGTAATAATCGGTCCTGCTGGTGTATCATGTTGCAGTTAGATAGCCGAGCCGGCACCAGGCTGAATGTGAAATGGACTTTCCACTGGTGGCTGAATGCATTAGAGACCTCATTATACACTATAGGCTGTTACCAATGCAGCATGGTGCCCTAAGTGATGACGAGCATTTACTACTCTGCATGTGTGTGTGTCTATGTTGGAGAAACATGGGGTGGCAAAGTGGGGGGGGGGGTGTACATTGCACCATAGTAGAGATGATGGCTGTGCACTTTGAAAGTGTGAGTGTAGAAGAGAAAAGAGATACTCGCTGTTACTGCACGCTTCACTGGTCGTCCCATCAGAGACCTTTAACTTCTGGTTGTTTGGGTCCATGTCAGCGTCTCAGTTCATAAGTGTTCCCTCTGGCACTAAGGTGTGAGCTCTGACTACAGCCAGCAGCTGAGCCTCTGTCAACACAGGCAACACCAGGACTGTGCTTTGTGGCCTAGCAGCCCAGTGGCTACAGGAAAATGTTGGTGTCGTGGTATCAGCTGACTTTTTCATCTGGAGGAGGATGGGATCGTGGATGGTGATGGTGATCAAGCTGTAACCCAAAAAACAGGTTGTGATTTAGAGTAATTTGTGTGTGTTTCTAGCGGCTTTTTAACCCCCCAGACATGGGTGTAGAGAGATCACTGCCGGGATTGTGCCACTAAAATTGGGTATTTTTAGCCGAAACATTTTCCAGCTTGCCTAAACCTAACCACAGCATCGTTCAAATGTAAAGTTTCAACTTATCTGCTACACAACAATGTGCAAATGTAACATATTCAACCACTGTAATACTGTAAGAATCTATCCTTAAATCAGTATATAATTCTGACTGATTATTACTTGGGTTATTTCTGTAGTTAAGTCATCATTTCTTAGGTTTGGGAGCAAAGCGAGATCCTTTGAAAGACCGACAGGCAATCTTACTTTAAATCCATCACAGACCGACTTATTTCAACACTGATCTGTGCACTAAGGGTTTTATTAATGACATGATAAAAGAGAGCACTCACTTCCTGTTTCACCTAAATAAACTGGCTGAACTGTTGGCTTGTTTGCAACCTCCCTGGTGTCACCCATTTTAATGAATGAGCGTTATTAGTGGTTGTCAGACTCATAGATATGGGTTAGCGAGGGACAGCTACGTCCAGAAGGCCACTATCAGCCCATTAAAGGCCCATTATCAGTTCAAGAAAGGATTTGTTACTCTTTAATTAGATTTAAGCACATGGTTAGGATAAGAAAAAAGGTCATGGTATAGTTTTAAATAAGTTTTAATACATCACATGACAAACGTACGTACATCAGTTAAAATGAGTCGATGTTGACTTTTGATTTCAGATGGGACACAAACCCCATTCTCTTGGGTAAAAGTTCTGTGGGGTTTTTTTACCCACTCACCATTCTGGCCAACTCTGTGTATGGACTTTCTCACTCTTCATACTATCATTACATCACCTGACTTCCTACTTAGCTCCCGATCTCACTAGAGATCACTGTCAAATGATAAACATGGCAATTGAAAGGGCTGATAACAGCCATCTGAACCTACTCGTAGTTGTAGCAGGCCCCTTCCAACCCAAATCTATGAGGTCAAGTGAAACATTTGAAGCAAGTACTAATCACTGGACCACTCTGACCACTTTTTAGTGCCTCAGATCATTGCACTTCGTCTTTCTGAATTCTTTACTACATTTTTGCTTTAAGTATTATCCAATGTATCACTTCCTTTTTATCAGCACTGCCACTAGACTTAACTTTCAGATTTATTCTTGCTCTCAAGACACTTTCTTTGTTATTAGGGTCCGGGCAGCTAAGCTGCCAGGACGCTATTGTAATCCTAGGTATTCTTTTTCTTTCTTCTTTCTTCTTTCTTCTTCCGAGGAAATCATACTTCCCATGGGTGAAAACTCATGCTAGATATCCTCAGCTGTAAACTCAAGCCAATAGTCCTGATGGTGGCGCTACAGCAAGTGTCTAAAGTACACCAAACTTGCTACAGAGCATCTTCAGACTGTCCTACAAAAACTATGTTTCTCAGATTTTTGATTTATCAAAAATTGAGCCTACAGTGCATCAAAATGTTTGACTGTAAACGGTACTGTAAACATATACATGCAAATTCTTGCTAAATAAATCTTCAATGTTCATGAAAAAAATGACAAAATTCTAAAGTCATGGCAGATGATGTGTGGCAAATTTCAGAATTTTATCTCAAAAGCTGAATTTTTGACAGCATTTTGAATTTTGCTCTAATGTGAACAATTGGAGTCAATGTAAAAATGGCAGTTTTAAACATCAGTTTTTCACTTATGGAGCAAATCAATCATTGTTACAAATAAATTACCAACATCTCCATGCTCTCTAGATGCAATATGTGTATTTTCAGATTTTGGTTTCGATAACTGAATTTTTTTACAGTGCTTTGAAATCTGCTTTTCCATGTATGGACGGCTGCTAAACCTGCATGTCTGGCTTAGTCAATTTGTGAAGCTACACATGAATTGTCACTGACTGATTAGTTCAGTGAGATAGAAATTGATTCTTAGTCTCAGAGGTTGTGAGTTCAAGCCTCAGCTGATGCAAAAGGCAGATTGTGTTGTTAAATTCCTAAATGTCTTCCAATTCTTCTGCTTGTTGCTCAGAATTGCCTAAAAATGCCCGGACCTGACCCATCTTTTAATGTGTCTCTGTGTCTCAGTGGATACAGGAGTATAACCACCAGAGATAAGGATTCTTCACCCAATGGGGCCACACATGCAAAAAACATATGCACAATCCTGTGACCTAGTTTGGTGTTTGTCAAACGTCAAACAAATGTAAACATTTTACTACAAAATGTGCTGTAAACCATTATTTCTGTGTGAGGTAATTTCCCCGCAATAAGGTTTAGCACAGCACTTTGGTCTGTGATATATAGTGTGTCACATACCGCACTGGCCTGGTGCCCCACCACACTACACAAAGCAATATCCTCGACCATGACTTTTCAGTGCCTTGGTGCCCTAAATGTAAGCACCGGCTTTGTTAAACTTTCATGTTCTTGCAGGGTTCAGGGTTGTTCTGCTGAGCACGCAGGCTGCTACACACTCACACACT